ATAAATTCCACCACGTGAATATGATGCAGTACTAAGTGAGGATAACAAAAACATTTTATGCGTGTAATCATACATCGTATAATACAACTGCAATCAATCCATTCGTGGATATAAAGTTCTCCGCGGCAGGAATACACTTCCTCTTACATCGCAAAATTCTGTTCAATAGTGATGTTTGTTTGTTGTTTGGGAATAAAGTGATTTAATTTTTGTCAATTTCGTTGGACTGCCCAATTTGTCTGTCTATGTACTGTCCGCAATCAGTTTCCATGTATTCTCATCAGCGAAATAATAGACTCTTGGCTTGGCAAAACCGTTGAAAGTGGATGCAGCCGAGCACGTGTAGGCTCCCATTTCCTCATAATAAAGCCAATCACCGATCGATAACGCAGGCATCATCCGACGTTTCTAAATTATACAGTCGGATGAATGAATGAAAAAGAAAGCGATTTTTTCAAACGAGTTTCAAATGATACACCGACTCGAAATGAATATCGCAATTATATGTCATTTTTCAATGTGGATATCGGTTTCCAAGAAGCTTTCAAACTAGATTCAAGCACTCCTTACCTCGACTTGGTCTAATCCATCGCATGTTGGTCCCCAAATAGTACACGGAAAACAATCTTCACCTTCTTTGCTCTGTAATTTTACTGATGTTAATGACAAACTTTCAAATGTAAAGAAAAGGGAAACGATATAAGGCCAAAAAAAAGGTTTCAGCCTAATTGCAAGCAAAAAAAAAAGAAGAGAAAGGAATATTTTGAGAATTGGAAGTTGTTTATTTAGAAAACTTACAAAAAGCGGCTGCCCTTCGGGACTAGTATGATCGAAAAATATGCAGTTGAATGAACCGTAGACGCCATCGTTCATATAGTACATAAATCCTGGAATGTCATCTCAAAAAGTTACACTTATTTTTCACGCTGAGTATTTCATAACGACGGACAAATTACAAAGCAATTCAACTTATGGTATACGCCATGCCCATAAATGGTAATATTCAAGTGAATCTAATACATGAGAATTCTATCGCTATAATAAACCACGCAGGTAAAATCTGATACGAGAAATTAAAAATTCACTCGCGTAAAGAAGTTAAAACATTTTCTGCTATCCACTTATGAGAATAACTTCCACTGAGTCAGATTTATCAAAACTGATCAGTAATTATCACCGTTGTTGGTTCCTCCACTGTCATCGAATCGTTCTGCACCAACTTTCTTTACACCGATAACATTTGTGACCAGTGAAAAGGTTGCATGAGCAAAAAATCTGAAATTGATGTCAATTGATTTCAACAAATTTTCTACACAATCTTCAACGATTACTTTCATAATTTCACTTTATAAGATTCACTTATGATCTAAACGGATTATTTTTTGGCTTCAAGCATGAAAACAAGCTTGTTGAACTCAACCGACCTTCCAGGCTCAGCAATGATTCGAACGCCTTCACTCGCTGGGAAATACTCATCAAGGCAGCTTCCAATCAAGCGTGCCATCTTCAAATACAAATATCATTAATCCACTAAATCTAAGTGAATTGAAATACATTCAACTCGAATTCTCTCATATCCAGTGATTATTTAACAATAAGAATACACGTGTATTCGCTTATCAATAAATTAAGATCAACCTTATCAATATCAATAAATTAAGGGTGAAATTTATTGAATATTGAACGGCATCTAATGATGATATTCTACTACCATCAGTGCTTAACAAAAGTATATTTGGTCATGCACTGCACGATCCACAATCATCATAACACTAACATTTTCGAAACTGCCAATTTCGGCCTCACCACCTGGAAATCCTCCACCAATATCCAAAAGTTTCATTTCATGACCGAAACTAGTGCCGATATCGAATAGAGCGCGAGATTCCATAATGGCCTCTTGAAACGTTGTTGGATCGTTACAACCACTGCCCACATGGAAACTACAAAATGCGAATGAGCGCAAGTTTTATTGACGTACAATGTGTTCCTTATAAAACACAGTCCGAAAACAGCATAAATTTCTGGCTAAAGGGAAGTTAAATACTGAAAAAATGTTGAGAGTGTATAAGGCTTGTTCTTAATGGCGCAATGATATTGTAAGCAGGGAAAGAGTTGAATGGTGTTCAAATCTAAAAAGATTTCATTTGCGATGAATCGATGAAGTTAATATGTAAAGAAGAGAAAGTGAATGTCTCACGCGATTCCAATGACATCAATGCCGCGTTCACATGCAGCCTTCAGGATGTGTGGACCATCTTTGAGCGCATCACAACCAAACTTCATACTCAGACGACATTTCGCAGACGAGTCATTCGTCGCTATGCGTAGAATCAGTCTAAAATTGCGTTCGTCGCTTAAGATAAGATGAAAAAATGAATGCACGGTACACATCGTTCACTCAACGGTTACTTCTTTTTGCTTTACTTCTATGGTCATTGCTGAAATACACTACTTGATTGACGTCCTGCAATGCATATTTGTCAGTGCAATCAACTTTCATGAAGCTCTCAAACTCACTCGTTCCATTTGCGGATACAATTCGTTACCGAAGCTCTTCTTCGGTACTTCTGGGGCAACTGAAGAGAGTGGCGATTTGATTTGTTAGCTTATAAGCATAGGAGCTCTCAGTTTGATCCGTGTTGGCCTGGCCAAAGGTTGTGATTTCAATCGCGCATCGACTGATGAAACACAAAATGGAATCATAATCAGTTTCGAGCTTCAGCATTTGATAGGGAGTAGTGATATAGTGGTACGAGTGTGATAAGAAATCAATATGTTCTTACTTGGCTTTTGGGTAGAGACGAGCCACCTTGTCGAGTTCTTCAACCGTATCGAAAGTCATCATTCCAATGTCCAATTCTCTCGCTCGTTTTATGAACGAATTCGTCTTAATCGGATTCGCATAAACTATTTTGTCTTTTGGTACCAATTTTATTGCCTTAAACGTATCACCAAATCAATACCATATCAAATCTAACAATAAGTAGAAAATCCAGTGAAGCTGTTACGATGCGCAATGAAAATTTCTCAAATGAAGAAATGAACAAGTTGGATCAATAGAGATCAAAAGCAAACCTTCGTACACTCAACCTTGCTAGCCACATCGAAACCACAACCGAACGATGCCAACACCTTCATCAATACCGGATCGTCGTTGCACTTCACTGCGTAGAACGGCTTCAATTTCACGTTCATTTAGTTTCAATTGATTTCGATTGACTCAATTGATTCTGGATGGATTTCGCATTTAATTGATGAGATATTTTGATTTAAGACATGTAGAGGAATCTCGCTTTCTAGTCACAGTTCGTCGCAGAACATTATCACAGGACAAATTTCCAGTGCAGTTTCGAACGATTAGATAAGATAATGATTACAAAAATTTAGAAAAGAACTGAGGACAGGAGTACCTTTGAGAAAAGGCTTCATTCTGACGTATTCCATAAGAGACCACAACTTACCTCAACTCTCGGTAAATTTGTTTTCCATTCCATCAGACGTCTAATCACCGTATTAACGTTCATTACATAAAATGCATCGTCTTGTCCCTTAATTTAACGACACATTACAATCCTCTAAGAAATTCAGTCGAATTGACTAGTAAATAAGTTGTGAGCACTTCTAATCTCATCAGCTCTTGGTACCAATTTTATTGCGATACTGCAAAAATCGCAAGCGCAACTTATATTATATCTTCGAAAATGCTCTAAACTATTTTTCTGACTATTGTTCAGTGAACGAAACCATCATAATCGAATAATGTCATCAGTGTTATTTCTCACTGAATAAAGATTTTAAAACTGGGAAAGCACACAAAAGGTTAATGAATTTTAATCGGTACATAAACTGCGGCAAAAAGCAATTTGCATCTTCTCATATATGAAAATTTTTACTCGTTGTGATTTGCTTGATGCGATTCCGCGTGCCATTTCCATGCTGCTTTTCGTCGAATTGAGCACGTTCAACTTCTTCTCAGCGTACGTCTCGAATTTACGAGTGTTGTTTTGATGGCGTTTTCGAGTTAATTTCACTCGTTTATACAACACCTCTTGCCTGCAAGTTGTCGACCCGACGCAGTGGTCATCTTGCACAATCGACGAAAAGTCATCCTTTTCGAGCACTGTTGACTGGCTCTCATCTGTGCCTCTGTAACATTTATTGGACGATTGCATTGATAATATCAGTTAATTTTGTAGAAATCCATGCAACAATTTGCTTTAAGATTTCTTCCGCTAGATTTCTTAAAGATTTTTTCTTTTTTCTTCCTCTAATAGTGGGCAAAGTGTAACAAATGACAGCAAACATGTTTTTTCGATGTTTTTTTCGTGCGAAATGAAAAGTAACTAAAGAACAGCCTGTTCAGTGCATCAAAACATTGAATCGATTCGCTAGAATAAAGTTAAGTCTCATACTAACGATAAGGCTCAAACTTAGACGCAATTCTACAGGTGAGGTTCAAGCGGAACAGACTGCATTTTTGTGATTTGCTTTTCTAAAGGACATCTTATAAGTTTTTCGAAACTATGGTCATAGAAATTGATAAGAATTATGCACTCAGTTGCTGTTCAAAAGGTGTGGAAAAAACTCACAACGGCACAGGAAGTGAAATTGCAGCGTGGAGAAGCGTTTTGATACCTGAAATCAGAGAACAAAATGGAGAATATTTACAAATTCGTTGATCGTTAACGGTTGGGCGAATGCGATACACAATAGTGACAATGATATTTAAACAAGATATTGATTGTGAAAGCATTCCGTTGCAATTGCATTTGTAAATTTTCAGCCGTATTCACAAAGAAAAACAACACAAAGAAAATATGAAACGTTTTACGCGAATGCGTGGAAATCTGTATGAAAAAATTTTACATAAACGCTAAATGAAGCACTCGAGTCACTAAAATTATTCATAAACGCTTCTAACAATAAGCATCGAGCTTCGTTCCTTTTCTGAACTCTTTCTAATGAATGATAATTTATTTCACTCGTTAAAGTCCTCAACCCTTATTCACAATCTTTATTTGCTTATATACTTATAACTGTTGATATTGGGATGCCTGTCTTGTAACTCAACATTTCCAAATTTCATCATAATTTTAAAATAGTAGATTATTGTTGCTTATTCATATTCTTGTTCGAAAAATTCCTCATGAAAAATATCCTCATTCCGTTGTATAGTTTGGTATTTTGTTTTCGCAAATTTTGTCACTATAATTCGAGTTTAAAAGAGCGGAATTTCAGTAAATGAAATAGTTTCAAAGTGGCTTTTGTAACATTTCAAACTTCGGCCTGCCACATAGTGATAACCGCAAATTACATCATTTAATTTTGGCTCAAAAAGAATGCCTCTCCGAAACAATAATCACGAATTATTAGAAAGATGTCAATTGATCATTAGGAATAATGAAAAAGAATAATTCATAAACAATGAAAGTTGTTTCAATCAAATGAACACTCACTTAATAGCAACATAAAGTATGATCATTCAGAGTGAGTTAAGAGGAGAATACGGTGAAACGATTCTATTTGTTAATGTGTTCCGTTTGAGAGCAACACTTGAGTTCAGCGATCGTCAACTGAAGGGTCACTCACTGCATTACTGTAAACGAAGGTCACTGAATATGTCAAAGATAACGAATAACATCGCTCACTATTATATAACACCATTATTATTGCTATCCANTAAATTCATCCGTTTTGATCAAATATTTTAAATTATTTTATGGTAAAAACATAGTTATAAAACATCCAAAACATTCACAATAATGTCAGTTGAACAGTAATTGATCTTAAGTAAATAAACATTGCATAAACGACCATGTCCAGTAGCAGCAGTCAGTTTTGGGGCAAATCGTTTCTACTATTTTGGTTCTTCTGTTATGCAACAGTATATTTTTGAATTGTATACGTGTGGGCATAACTTCAATGCAATAGAACAGAAGTAAAAGTTGAAAATTGAACGACCAAAATCGCTTGTAAAGTGGAACGATAGGGCGAACAACCGAGCGCAACAAGGAACAGCTCAAAACAAGAAATATTCCAGTTGGCATACCTCAATTGATTAACAGTATTATCAGTTTTGTTGTACTTTTCAAGATGATAATACAATGTGAAGTTATTTGCTATGTGAAATTTTATTTCGAATTCCGTTTATGGCGACAATATTGTTATCAGCGATGGACGGACG